GGGACGTCGGGGTTAGCGATTCATCAGACTGAAGCAACAACCTGTTGTATGTGGTGGTGTATGGGCAGAGCCTGACAAACAGGAATCTCTTCTTCACTAAATTTTCTTTTGAGGTGTGGATGATGACCAATCTTTTAATAAGAGACGAGCACAACGTGGTTTCAAATATAAAGTGATTAATTATGAGCAAAAGAAAACCATCTACAAGCTACAAACTGTGTTTCTATGACAACACTGGCACAATTGTTGACTGACTCTTAACCCACTATTTATCAAACAGACACTCTATCATCAACACCTCTGACGATGTGAAGTCTTGCTTAATCAGGCTTTTCTCCAAAAGGAGATCAAACCACCGTCACCGCGCTGACAAGTTTGATTTCACTGGAGTTGAACCCTTCTATAAGAGAGCCTTTGCTCACTGATTATTCTGTTATTAAGACCACAAATTGTAGCTTTTCTCACTACACTGTTCTGACAGCAGGTGTCACTGATTATCAGGAGGTGTCATAGGACAATAACAATCATATTGTGTAACTTTACAACGCAAGCTAATGAAGTTTTAGCCATTAGGATGAGTCTAGCAGGCTGTGATCAGATAAAACAGGGTAACTACCCACTGTAATGATCAATTTACAGTATCTTCTTCTATTTTAAAGTCAAATGACATTGCTGCACCTGCATCCACACTAGTCTTTCACCATATTTGTATTTGGCTGGTTAGAGCATGAACTAAAACTAGGTATGCATATGACCAGTCAGCTGCAGTAGATGTTTAAACACTCATCGTAAGTTGTTAACAGAAATGCTTGTCAGTCAACTAAGTATTTTTTTTTTTTATTAATGAACAACGCCACTTAACTGTTGTGCATTAATTGAGGTCCATGTCTCTACCAATGATGATCCCAGACAAGCCCCCAAACGTAACGAATTTTAAACTAAAAGTGAACACAATTATTCTTCCCAGGAAGGCCAATCGCTGATTTTGCTAGCATCTTTAACAGGTGACTCGCTTGATGCATGTACAACTTTTATCATTAGGCATGAATGTTGAATGAAAGTTCCAATAGGATACGTTGATACACTACACCCATTAATTTTCCGTGGCTCCTCCTGAGAAGTTAGTTTCCTTATTTTTTGGTTGCTCCTTGGTGAATACATAAGTAAGACTAACACCCTAGCATTACATTCTTAAGCAATGGGATTCATTAATATTGAACAGCACTTCAAGCTTCGTATAGTAACATAAATCAGTGTTGTTATGTGGAGCCAATTATCACCACTTTGAACAAGTTATAACCATCCTCCTGTCGAAATAGCTAAAAGGAGTGCAAACTGCCGCGTATACTCAGCCCCCCATTAAGGCTAATGTCAAAAAGTTTTTGATATTCAAGGGTGAAAAAAATTAGAAGTTGTGCATTTGGTTCTTCGACACTATACTGTGCTGTTTTCTATGCTGCTGGAGAGGTGCACTTACAGAACTAGGGCTGGAGTGGCGGCGCAATTTGGGGGACTCTTTGCCAGCAGTTGAGCTCTTGGCGTTGATGCAGGCATTGTTCTCAGAGTGGACCCTTTTCACCTGACTGGCGGGCTTCTCAAACGGGTCGAAGCCACTCTGCGTGCGCTGAACTCTCACTTTCTTGTCTTCAGGGATGGTGTCCAGGGGCTTGATGACAGAGTCTGTTCCCTGGCAGCTGCGTGTGGACATCTTTGTGACACATATCTGTCAAAAGAGGGGAAGGGGAAGGAGAAGAGGAGTGAAGAAAGGAGGGTGAAGATAAATGTGAGCATTAAGGGGGAAAAAAATAGTCCATCTGCGATTACCAGTGTTCAGCCAAAAAACCGACTGTCATCCAGATCCTGCCTGTTTTTCATCTTTCTGTCAGCCTGGGTCTCTTCCCTCCCTGTAGAGCCACACTGCTACCTCTTTGCTAGGATGAGAGCCTTTTTATCTCCATCTCTCTTTTCTCTGATCAAAACAGCTCCAGCCTCCGTCAGCTCTGCTGCACATGCACTCGCTGCCGGCTGCTGCCGCTGTCCCTAAACTGCACATACACACAGTCCCACCTTATCTCTGACACACATCTACGC